TGGAGTTCTTTCAATAATTATAAGGATCCCAAAATAAGGTACCCAAATTTTCGGAAAGTCCTAGATAGAAAGAGAACATCTTGGGGAAAGTGGGAACCCGAGGGCCCGGCCTCGTGAGCCTCGCTCGCTTGCCGCCTCTGCGGCCTTCTGGGCTCCGCACCTCACTGAAAAAGGCTTCTGAGGGGCCCCAAACAAGCTGGGTTCTCCTTCGGCCCGAGCCAAGCCGACCTTGCCGGTGTGCGAAGATTGCCGTGGCGAAGGAGGCCTTCGAAGGCACGCCAGGGCGTTGGGACTCCTTGGCCAATTGGCTGCAACCAGAGGCGTTTTCAGGATGCGCGTGATGCGTCCTTGGGTTGCTGAGATGGCTCCTGCGCCTGCCGAGGCCGGGTCGAATGTGCATCGCACTTAGAGAACACAGGTGCCATGACCGGCTGCCTGCCAGGCCAGTGGGGGAGGAATAGCCGCAAAGTCTCGTGTGCTTCGCACACGGCACGACGGGCCAATCCCGAGCCTGAAACGGACCAGGGGCTTCGATGGAAACCGCTACCTCCGTTGCAGCTCTCACCAGGCCATGGCCAAGCCTCTTCACCACTGAAGCTGGCCTCTGAATGCCACGGCACGGCACAGTGGTTGCACAGCTCGAAGCAGATGCCGCAGCAGAATCTAAAGATCTGGCAGTCTGCAGCTACGTATCTCGGACAGAATCGCGGAGCGGCTTGTGCCAACATTTCCCTTGGCATCTTTGAAGCAAGCGTCTGCTGCACAGCAACAGCCACGGACTCGTACAAAGGCCTTGGGGAGGGCCGGCGGCGGATGCAGCTCCCAGACATCCTTTGCTGACAGCAACAAAAACTGAGGGGAGGCTGCATGAAGTTAGTCTCAACGATGTCTCAACAGTGCAGTCCAGGACTCCGTCTGCTTGCTTTGGGCCGGTGCTTGGGAGATGAGGCACCGAGAGGCACGAGGAACCTCAAACTTGCAAAGCACCCCCCCCACACCAGCTCCAAAGGTCCCTCAGTGGCCGGGTGGACCATGTCCAGCCGCTCAGGCCGTCACAGCTGCATCCACCAACACCTTGACGAAGATAGCAAACATGCGCAGCTCATGCATCACCCCTGCTGGCCTCCTTCCAAGGTACACCATGGTAGCCGGATATGATCTTGGCTGCGGCATCCTGGAATACTGGCACGATCTGCCTTATTCTCGCGGAGAAGTGGTTGGCCACTTGCCTGGCTGACCGCACGCGCCAAGCAGGTCAAGCCGCCAGCCGCTGTGGCACGGGTAGCGCCCTGGGCTTGCAGGAGTGTGACCGCGTGTACTACTCCAAACCGTCAGCTGAGCCGACCATATGCAGGTCAACACGAGATGTTGTGACATGGCCACCCGGCGTGAAAAGTCCGAAGTCACAAGAAAGGCGCCTGTCGTCGCCGAAAATGGAAGCACGAGAAAAGGTCGCCCCTTCAGCAGACAGCTTGTGCATGCCCACACAATGAATCTACCGGGACTCAAAGTGTTTAGTCGAAGTGGACCCGAGCCCGAGCCGTCAGCTCAACTGCTGGCTTGAAGAAAGCCCGCAGATCCGGCACATGCAGCTGCTCGGGGATTCCCTGCCGTCGCAAGAGAGGTCCCACACCGCCCACAGGGGCTTAAGCCGGGCCGGTCCTGTATGAGTAGGAGGGCCATTCCACACGAGCATCTGCAGGCTATGGCCGGTCTCGGGTCTTGAAACCTTTGATTTTTTGTTTGTGACGTACCCGTGCTCCGGTACCTTATTTTGGGGTCCTTATAATAGGGATCCTATTATTTAAGGTGCTATATTAGGGTCCCCTATTTTCGGCCTATGCTCTGCAGCCTTGCTTCCGGATGCTGCTCGGACCCATGCTTCAAGCGGCATGACTCCTTCTTCGCTCAGAAACTAAAAACCTGTCAGCGATGCGGATTGAACAGAATTTCGCGCTCACTGGGTTGTGACAAGTACTTCCACAAACACAGAAGGATCAGTCCATGTCCTTTTGGCTGGCGGCTGTACTGATGCACAGCACGAGGACCACAGGCAACAAGGCCTTGTTGTTGGAGGGACAATGTTGCAGAAGCCAACATTTGGCTGCGTAGCTGTTCCAGCTACGGCCTGCGAAACGGGCGGGATGACTTCAAGTTGAAGTCCATTCCGCATTTGCCCGAGAAGAGGGCGGGCTCTGTCGCAGAAAGAATTTGGACTGTACAAACTTATATGCAATGCATCCTTGGAAGGATCCTCCCAAGGCTGCCAGCGCAGGCAGCTCACCTGTCAAAAGTATCGAAGGAGCGCTTGAGTCAATTTTGACAGGCCAGCGGCAAAAACAGGCATCAAAAAACTTTGCCCGAGGCCTCCTTCTGGAGTCCGGTTCTACACTACTACTCTACACTCGACTTTCCGGATCCTTGTCTCGACAAACTCCTACTGGTTAACTTCCTCACTTGCCCGGCGCTTTGTCCTGCGTTCATGACTGCGCAGGTCCGAAAGCCACCTGACTTCAGCACCTGCAGTCCTTGCCAATATGCACCAGGCCCACAGTGATATCGTCCACCACCGCACCACCCTCTTCGCGGATCCAGCCTCGCAAGAGACCCACATCCCAAGCTCCTTGGAGCCGTGGACTCGACCTCTGGGGCCCGCTGAGCGCGCAACGATCCCAAGCTTCTTTGGCCAGCAGCCCAGCTGCTTGCTCGCTCTCTTCTGCTGGCCGCGTGCTGACGAGATCGACAGCCTGACACCACAAGCACCACAAACGGTCATTTCCTCCTCCTCCTCCTCCTCCTCCTCCTCCTCCCCCCCTCCCTCCTCCTCACCGCTTACATCATGACGAACCACCACCACCGCCTCATCATCCTGCTCGTTCTGTTTGACATTGCCCCTACCAAGAGTAGCACTACGACAACCAGCACCAAAGCATGCAGAGGCAGCAGCAGCAGAAAATAAAAAAAAAGTAACGGTGACTATGAATGACTGACTATCGATAGCCATAAATGTCATCATGACGATGATGACGGCGACGGTGGTTGATGCAGGTCGCGAGGGTGATGCTGATGATGCTGGCATGGGTAGCGTGGCAGTATCCTGGCTCACCTATACTGCACCTCTCGCCGTACTACATACGCGGAATCAAGCCGAACGCCAAAGATCCTGATCACCACATATCACCACCATCACCGCAGCACCACCGCCACCACATTGGTGTCGCGGTGGTACGAATATGGCATGGGCATTGGCCGCTGCAGACCACTTACTGTTACAGTAGCATTGCGAAATAGTACTGCCTGACGCTCACATGCTCGTACAGCATTTCATGGAATGGCCGACTCTTGACTGATGCGCCTCCTGTGCAGTTATGAACTCCCACACACCATCGCTGCAGACAAGCAGTAGCTGCTCTGTCCCGGTCTGCAGCTCCACCCTCAGTTGCGTACAATGAATTCTGCAGTCTACACTCCGCATACTCCGCTTGAGGAGTGTGCCGCGTGATCTCTGGCTCAGCGGTGACCCCACACTCTTGATGACCTGCATTTGCCAAACTGTAGGGTGGCATGCCAATGCCGGCATCGGCGAGCGGCACAGTCCGATCGCAGATAAGGTGCCAATAATATCACCCAAACATCGCGACATATTGAGACCAGGATATCGAGAGTTCTTTGCCTGGGCTGGAAGCTTACTGGAGAAAACTGTCATTCTCTGAATCTCCCACCATCAATGCCACTGAGTAGCATAAATTCGATGGTTTGCGTAGCCATCAAAGACCTCGGATGACGACTACGGGATTTGGTGAGATCGTCAAGAGAAGTCACAGCCGCCTTATAGTCGCCCCCTTGGATGCCAAGCGACGATCGTCCCACCCTTCTTTTCTATTCGCTCGCGCTCACCCTGAAACACAGCCACAGCCGAGAGCCAGCCGAAAGGATTTTGACAAGGAGGAGCCGAGCAGAGCCTTCACGTTCGGCTTGTGGTCTTTGGTCACGGACGTGCCGATCCACTTGCCACCTGACCATGCCCAAACCCAGAACTCTCCTATTTCAGTAACAGAAGAGTCACATCTGCTTCCAGAGCCTTTCTTGACCCCAACGGCAGCAGTGCTGTCCGCCTGCATGTATTGTTTCGTCGCAGCAGTCTCACCTAGACCTCGACACATCGCAACTCGGCGTAGCGACCACGTGAGCAATCGTCAGCTTCTCATGCAGATGATCCTTGGTTTCTGGTGAATCTGCACGTCCAACTCGAGATTGCAATGCTCGCAAGGCTTGTCTGCAAAAGCATATCCAAGGCCCACAGAGTCCACAGAGGGACGTATACCTCCCTCAACAGCCTTTTCGGGCAAGTGGCGAGGAAGCAAACGGTGGCTGTGGTGCCGGACATCTGCGCGCTCAGACGTTTGGTCTGATCTGCGGCCGTGATCTAGGTGCACCGAAGGGAAACGCAAATGCCAGCAGCGCGGCAGTATTTTTGAAAGCGTGTCCAGATGCATTGAAGGAGCAAGCTTCTGAACCTTCTTGAAGGAATCGACGAGACAAGAGCCGACTTCGGGTGATTTCGACCTCAAGCACAGCCGGCCGTGAACCATCTCCAACTCGGGCAGATGTGAAATGAACTGGTGCCGAAAATAACGGGAATGTCCATGCAAAGCCAAGCCAAACCTTTGATGCTGTGGGGTGCGTCGTTGCTTCGATAATCAAAACCTGTGTCCTCAGACATGCTGATATGAATGTTGTAAATATGTAGGTCTGGTGCGTATATGTAAATGAGAATATGTATATATATATATATATATATGTATGTGTGTGTGTACATATATAGAGATAGAGAAATGGATAAAAAGAAAGAAAGATAGATAGATAAAAAGCTATCTAGCTAGCTAGCTAGCTAGATAGATAGATAGATAGATAGATAGACAAATAGAGAGATAGAGAGATACAGAGATAGAGAGAGAGAGATATAGATAGATCGACAGATAAGTGGATAGGTAGCTAGATAGGTAGATACGTGAAGTTATAGATTATGGGTTCATCTTCATTCATGGCAGCAACTCCTAGCTGCGTAGCTGATTGCTAAACCGACGAGACGACGAACTCATCATACTCAGAATGAAACTGTGACACGAAGAATTTCCGAACAAAAGTTCTCAATCTCAACTACAACCCTCACAGCATTTACCTTGCTCCGCGGGACCTCGGGTCCTGCAGGATGATTTTCGGTAGGAAATCCTGCGGCGGAGCATCTAAGAAGCATCTCCTCTCCTTCACAGAAATCCCGGTGGCCTTCGCGAACTGCGAGATATCGTGGCCCTTCTGGCCATGACCATCAAAGACTGCGAAGATGGAGAAGGTGTCCTCCAGCGCGTGCGCGCGGCGTGGGGCGGCACGGCATTTAAAGTGTGGCGCGTTTCGGTTTCGACTTACTACGCTCACCGCGGTCCATCTTCACCAAACACCAGGAATCTTGATTTGGACTCTCTGGCTTCAGACCTCAGCTCGACTTGTGCTTGGAAGACGACACTAATGCGGGCATCAAAACTGAATCAAGCCAAGAAGCCCTTTCGGCAGGTGAATGCAACACCCTTTCCGGAAATGTCAATGTTGTCACCAAGCGAAAGGAGAGACCTAACGGGAACAGCGGAGGACTCTCTGACTCCACCAATGGACGCTGGCTCCGTGCAGCCCAAGAACTTATTCGAGAAGGATGCCATTCCCTGATCCTTGGTGCCGAATCGACGCAGCACCCAAAACCAGCGCCAGTGTTTCGCCTGTGGGCCCGGGCGGTGGTTGAACCCATGTAGGTTTTGGGGCCACCACCGGCAAGACCCATGTCATCGATGATGTCAATCTCGGTGGTGCCACAAGCTACTCCCACCCACTTGGTGCTGATGGTGCTTTCCGAAATAGGTTGACGCACCTGAGACTCTAGAATACTCCACCGGGCGACGGTGGCAAACTTGAAGCTATCGTTGTATCCCTGTCCCTGTCACTTCCCTCTCGTAAAGCTCTCGCAGATCTCGCGGCTCGGCTCAATGAGGTTCATGCCACTGATTTGGCTTCGAGCTGCGCCATCAGCTCACCTTGCTTCCCGCTTCCATCACACGAGCCTCTTGGACGCGTCAAACATGTCGGGCCGGCAGTCTGCTGAAATAGCTGCTGTGGATTTCTCTGCCTTCACCTCGGCCGTGCTTGCATGTGCTTGCGCTTCTTCGTCCCGGGTGCTTACCCGCTGTCAGCTTGCAGTGAAGTCAGCAGCCTCGTCGACGATCAGTCGCTTTCGCTCCTTTCCTGCCTGATCACGAGGGCAAGGACTAAGGTTGCAATGGAGATGAAGGCTTCGCAGATGCCTTCTTGGCTCCTTTTTTTTGGGCAGCTCCGCTGGAGGCGCAGCAGCCCATCGTCCTTGCGACGAAAACACTTTATCTAGAATCTAGAGTTCCAGACACGACCTCTGCCTCCGTCGAACTCCCCTCTGAGCTGCTGCGTCCCCTTCCCCCCGCTGAGCCACGACATTAGGCTGCGAGAACAGTGTGATGGCACGATGCTTGTTAAGTATTCCCGAGACCCATTGATCTCGCCGCACGATGCGACGAAGGCGGTGGGCAATCCACAACCCACATACAGTTCTACAGCTGCTGTTCGGCGGTTGGATTCTGAGCTCTGAGCTACGAGCTACGCGAAACCTTTAGCTACAGTAGTTTCACGGCCTGGAAGAGTTCATTTTTCACACCCCTGCTGCCAGTGCCACGTCTCGACCCCGGAGGATTGCGAGCTGCTCCTTCGCCTCACTAGTGTATCCAGCGCAAACCGGGCATGGAACGTCCCTCACCGCATCGGCCTCCTGCGGAAGGAGAGCTTCCACCGGGAGGATCTGGAATCCTGCAAGGATAAGAAGGACATTGGACATTTCATGTGGTGGCTGGGGCTGCACCGGCTTGGTTAGAGCCTTTGTCGTGCGGAATCCAGGGGCCAGCGCTGGCGGAGGTCGGCTGCCTTGTATGCGGGTCAGTCGCTTCCTGACTCCGATTGGGTGAAGCATCCACACCCCGACATAGTGCTTCTGTTGGCTTTTCAGCTCACTCAGTCGCCAGCACATCCAACTTGCCTTGCAGGGCCTAGCGACCACGCTAGGAGGCCCCCTAAAGAAGTCTGGCGAGCCTGCTTACGGAGCCTTATAGGGACCATCTCGCACCTCGAGGTCCGAAGGTCCACCCAGCCCAGGTAGTCTGAAGGTAGCCCGGAAGGTCCCATTCTGGGCAGGCAAAGAACATGCGTCGAGTGAGCACCACAGTACTCCACCATTTGAGCCAGGTGACTGCATCGACTGCCTCGTCCACCGGACCAATCGCCATGGAGATCCAGGATCCCCGAAGCTCCTGCGGTGTCCGAGAACCATGCATCCTCCACCGCCTGCCAAGCGAAACCTTCGGCGCCTCTTGGTACACCGTCCAGTCTGCACGAGGCCAGCCGTCAATATGAATTTCCACTCGCTGCATCAGCGTCGGCACCTCTGCAACCGAGCGCCCGGATCCGATCCGCAGAGCTGGCTTCAACGAGCTCCCAGCCGCTTCTGCTTTCTCCTCTCGGGTCCTGAAAGCTCTGGGCGTGGACCGCGGTCCGCGCGGAACCCGCTCTCTGGCCCAAAAAACCCTTCAAGCGCAACAAAAACCCCAGGGCTCGGGCGCGGCCGGCCCTTGCTCGGGGCCTGAGCCGCTTTTGCCTCGAAAACCGAGGACCAAATCAAAGCCTCTTTGGGCTCTTTGAGAGGGCTCGGACTCACCAGGGCCCAAGCTCTGCAGGCTGTCCAGAAGAGACGAAAACTTTATCCGACCTTGCAAAAGGCAGGAGCTCTTGCCTGTGATACCTCACACTTTGTCACTGTCTGGCCAAGCCTTTTTTGGCGGTGGGCTCCGTTGTCTCGGACCTGATCCAGGGAAGCAGTAGAACCTGCGAAAGTACAGCGTACTCAGAATGTACACAAACAACACTCTATAAAGTGTTACCTATGCACAGCTCACTCAGCCAATGATCAAAGTAACCCTGTACACCACAGAGCGTCTCTTCTCACTGCACAAAGTGCTCCTCGTCTTGAGCCACCAAAGTGGCGAAGTCACAAAGTCTGAGAGACTCTAGGGACATGTTATTTTCACAGGACCACGCCAAGTTCAAGACATACATACGTACATACATACATACACACATATCGTGATGCGCTCAGATTACAAGACTTCCTTGCGTGAAGGCGCCTTGTGATCCCCAGCGCCGTGAGAACCAAGTTACCCAAGTTCTCTTGATGGGCTCCAGGCAGCTGCACCTGCGTCCAACCCAAGTACGAGAGTGTGATAGTCAGAGAATCGGGTTCCGGAGCATGCCTCCATCCGTTCAAGCCCGAATGCCAGCCCCTGTCCAACTGCCTCAAGTGCCGACCCCCGTGAATGGCATACGGTGGTGACAGAGGCCTGCAGCTGGCCTTGGACACGGCCTCTTTCGCAGACCAAATCCGCTGGAAGGTGGCCTGGGCTTGAACTTAAAGAAGCAGTCTTGCTGACTTTGTTCGATGGCCATTTCACAGCTAGCGGTGGCTGGCGTATCGCACTGCGCTCGAACTGCTCTTGATGCACTCCCGCTCTGCGTCAGTCAGCACGGCCTGCAAGTCCTGCACATGTCCGCGATAGAACAAAGAGCCCATGACCATGTACACACAAGCCTGACGACGTCGAAAATTACATCTGGGGTGACTGTTCCATGAGAGGCTGTACAGACACGACTTCAGAAATGGCCCGGGCATGGATTTTATCTGAGAAGGAAAAGACCAGCTTTGCCGTGGTCGCTTTCCCAGCTTAGGCCGGGGATGCGGTAGCCACTCAGAACTTCCAAACTCCCACGAGGCCTGGTACCAAGTCTCGTCCTCTCGCTCTCCGCGCTCTTGCTGCGGTGCGGAAACATCAGCACCTCTTTGGGACCAAATCGCACAGCAGGTGGGCGGCGTTCACTTGCACAGCTCAGGGACCAGCCAACAAGGAAGATGGGGTCGCTTGCTAAGACGACCCAATTACCGTCGTGGGAAACATTGAAGTTGAAATTCCTCCCGGATACACAAGTGAGAAGTGCGGCGCAATGCTAAGCAGAGCTCTGTTTCATGCAGGGCGCGGCAATGTTGTCGGCAATGGCGACAGCAGAAAAGGCTTCTTTCCCTTTGTGCCTGTCGTGGAGCAGAATCACGATGCAGTTCTCTTGCTTGCAATCAAGTCCAATAGAAGCCCCATGATAATGCAAACAGGGCACGGCCAATTTGGATACCAGCAAAGTCTGATTGGCCCAAGGCCTCTCGCACCACAACTGAGATTCTGCTTTGCACAGGAGTGGGAAGCACTGAACTCCTTTGCCTGGGCACATGCCCTCAGCCCCAGCAGACGACCCAGCAAAGTTCGCTTGCGGTCTGGCCTGAGAGTCACAGTGAACACACCTTGAGCATCTCGAAGCTGGTCTGCAAGGGTCCAGGCAAAGCTCTGTACGACATGATCGATTCTTGCTCTTCAGGCTTCAACAACGACAACCTTAGTGCGGCAAGTTCGGCAACCCACCTCTGTTCTCAGACACAGCAAAGAGCAGTGGAAACACAGGGCCACATGCTTGGCGAGCAGCATTAATCGGAATTCCTCGCCATCGGATCCTCCGCGGGGCTTCCAGTCGTTGATGTTCACCGCCCACCGAAAGCCTCTCCGTGTCTGCACGCATCCGAGCGGAAGTCGGAAGCCGTGTCTGAGGAGCGTGCGTGCTGACACGGGGCCGTCCCAAAAGCTGCCGGGTGCCTTTGAAGGGGATCCCCGCCCACGGCGACGTGACCCACGTGTCCCGTCCCGCTCCTGCAAGGAAAACTGTCGCAGCTCCTCCAGCAGCTCTTTGGCCAAAGGGGCCGAAAGCCATGAGGTCGAAACACTTTGGCCCATCTCAGGTCCCAAAGTGTTAAAAACAACTTCGATCTTTCTCTGCTCTTGTCTGCGGTTTCTGCCAATCCCGAGCATGCAACTTCCTTTACTGGACAACTGCTTGCCTTAAGCTTGGCCTGTCTCAGTTTCATGGGTCCAGTTCTCTGAGACATGCGACAGAAAGCGGTCCTGTTGCTGCGAACAGCTGGGTCAAGCTGCTGTGACATACATGTAATTACCGGCCATGCACATCACACTTCCTTTGCGGCCAGCGTGGCTTATGACGCACATGCTCCGCCAGTGCAGACTTGCAGGGTGCCTTCGGCAGTCGCAAATTGCAGGTCAAACTCTGGGAGTCTGACCCTGCCAAAACCTGGCCAGTAACACGACGCCTGGTTCCCCTCCCTGCCGCTTTGTAGACAGTGGCCTGAAACCTGGTTGTGCAACAGCTGCATACAGCTGCCACAAGGATAGCCGCTCATGAAGTGCAACGCGCACAAGAAAAAAGAGTCAAGCAGGCTCGCACACTCATCCATCTTGGATGGTGGCAGGCACTGCTCCTTGCAAGATTTCAAGCGAAGGGTACAGCTCGTACAATGTACAGCTTGTAGCCTGTACAATTTCGCAACATGTTACAGTTCTGTACAGGTCATCGTCAGGTCAACTGTAAGGCTGTGCATCGGCCGAGACACGCTTGGTGTGTGTCTTGGCAGACTACCAAAAGAACACACAAGCGACTGTGTGTTTCCAGTATCTACGCAACGTCACAGCGCAGCTAGTCGACCGTAGCAAGCAGCTGACAGGTCTCTAGTCCCGGCAGCAGCGCCACAGTCCGTGCAACATGCAGAGAATATCATAGAGTGCAGCTGCTAATCGCTATTGCTGCATTGATGGCCCGACAAGCTCATATTAACAATGGTGGCCGGCGGGTGTAGATGACGCAGCTGTAGGGATGGAGGAACCTTCACTGATTCAAAACCAATTGACGACTGCTACATTTGCATTACCAAAGATGAAGCAAAATCGGGCACAAATTGATCCGTGGCGTACGGCATAGGGAGATCACGATTTTTGCAAGCCAAGAAGCAAGTCGGTGCCTGCGCTGGCCCTCAACGACTCGGAAGCTTCGGCTTCTTGGTGGAAGACCGTCGCACTGTTGTGGTAGCGCGCGTCCGCTGAGTTGAAAGCCAGCGACCACTCAGCCTGGAATGGGAATTCCACCTCCTGATGGCTCAAGAAACTGCGTTGAAAATTGAAGACCGCTACGACGTCATCGCCCGGCCCACCAACATGCCAGCGGTGAATCATCAAGACCTTGTTGTCCTCGTCAATCGTAACATTAACTCCTTCACCTTGCAGCCCTTTGCTTGTGTTCAGCAAATTCCGTCGTAGCCCAATCAAGTCCTTGTGCAGAGTGAAAGTGCCAGTGTGCGTAGTCTTCATTGCCCAATCAAAGGGTGTCCCGGCGGAAAAAGGGTTTTCGACCAAGAAGTCTTGGCCCTGGAAAAGCATTGGAATGCCTGGGCTGACCATGACCAAAGCAGATCCCAGCGCCGCGAGCCGAGCAGCTACCCAAGAATCCCCCCCGTGGCCGGGTGACACGATCGCGGGGAGTCGCTGCCTCCCGGCCTCATCGTGGCTTTCAATGTAAATCACTCGGCGCAACAGCGAGCCTTGGAGCGAACCTCCGAGTATGGCCGCCTTGAGTCTCTCCATACGTCGGTCCTTGTCCTTCGCTTTTGCAAGCACGTGAAAGACTGGCCAATGAAAGCCACCATCCCACTGACTGTCGAAGCCCAATCCACCCATGGAAACTTGCTGAGTCAGCGTGGCGTTGCCCTGCAAGTCCTCAGCAATCATCATCTTTCCTGGCAGCTCATGAGCTGCCTCAGTCAACTCCTTTAGCATCAGCTCTCCGTCTGGATTAAAGGTCGCCGAACTGCGATTTGTCTCAGATCCTCCCCACAAGCGGATGAAGCTTACCCCATCCACTCGCAAACCATCGCAGTGCATAGTGTCCAGCCAGAACAGTGCGTTGTCTCTGATGTAGGACCTGACATGCTGTAAGCCATAGTTCGGGCGAGTGTGGGCCCACGGGGTCTCGGCTCGCTCGTCATTGTAAAAGTAAATTCCTCCGAGATCGTTCTCGAACCATCCATCGAAGCGCCACAAAGGAAGGTCCATGGGCCCCAAATGGTTGTAGACTACATCCATGATCACGGCGATTCCTGCTTTGTGGCAGGCATCAACGAAGCGCTTGAACGCATCCGGCCCACCATATGCATGCTCTACTGCAAATGGATAGGCTGTTGTGTATCCCCAGCCAACCTCCCCATCAAATTCAGCAACTGGCATGAGCTCCACGGCATTCACACCAAGCTCAGTCAGGTGATCCAGCTTTGGGATGCACATGTCTAACGTCGCACTTCCCGACCATCCTTCATGAGCACAGAAGGTGCCGACATGAAGCTCGTAGACCACTAGATTCTGCCAGTCAGGCATCGACCAGTCAGCATCTGACCACTCGAAACTGTCATCGGAATAGACGATTGAATTGCCCAACGTCTCCCCATCTTGCTTCCTCGACCATGGGTCTGGACGCCAATATGCCTCCCCATCTTCGGAGACAATATGAATCTTGTAAGCGGCCCCCCTTCGAAGAAGATAGTCTCTCGTCGGGTCCGCAGGTAGCCTCAGCATCCACCAGCCATCACCTTGGCTTTGCAAATGATCCGTTGGCATCCAGGAGCTCCAGGATGCAGCCACGGAGACTTGCTGTGCATGAGGCGCATAGATTCGAACTTCTGCACCGCCAGCGGCTAGAGCATGAAAGCCTTCACCATGTCTCGCACCGAAAGCCGAAATCGCTGCGAAGATCAAGAGCCTGGTCGGCAGGGCTTGTCAGCTGCTGGCTTACACGTCCAACTTGAAAGACTTGGCTACGGCGGCTACGGATACTGTACTGCCTATACCAACATAGCCTGGCAGCCGTGTGCAAAGCTTCAGCAGCATGGCCATAGCACACATGGCACACGAACAATGACGTGCCGCAGCGCAGGAATCTGGTTCCACTTCGGCTCCTTTCCTCGCCGGCTTCACTTTGGGCCGGTATGAGCTGGAAGAATGACAAAGACGCTCTGAAGCACAAGGTTTCCAGACAGGTGGCGACGGCAGCCTACCAGTCACAGCAGAGAGATCATGAAGGACCTCCGTGATTTTGATGCTTGAGCTGCTTGGTTCCCTCACAAGTGGCAGGCCATTCGGTCTACCGTGAGCTGACGGTGAGACGCACACAAACGCCGCAGGCGCAAGCGGTGAACTCTAAGCAAGGCGCAAGCGCTTCTTCACTCGATCCGATTGGGGATCCAATGCCTGTGAAGACAAAAGCGAATCCGATCTTTCAGAAGCAGAGTGGGGCACATCACTCGGTGCTCCAGAGATGCTTGTCTTCCGACGCTTGCTTTCCCTTTGCTCCGAGTCGCGCGATTGTGCTTTGCCAGCAGATAGACTAGATCGCGGTCCTGGTTTACTTCGACCGTCGCCGGAGTCGCCATCGCTGCCGTTCTCATCCGACACACCTGACAAGGTCCGCGTCTTCTGCTTGGAGCCTGCCCGGAGCTCCTGCGTTGAAAGCATTCGGGGGGCTTCCTGGGCGTGAAGCTCCCTGTAGAGCTGAATGTTCTCCTGACCGACCACGTACATCACTTTCTCCTTGAAGCCCCGTGCACTTCTGTGCAACGAAACGACCTTCAAGACCTTAACGCTGGACCGCTCTGGCTCGACATCGTGGGGCTCGGGCTGAGGCGCAGCCGCTTCCTCTGGCTTGTCCTGGGAAACCTGAGTCGCCTCACGCTCACGTAAGGCGGGTGTGGGCGGGGCGGCTGGCGCGGCCGGCGGTGCTTTGGGCTCAGGCTGGCTGATGCCGAGCCTTTGCCGCATCTTCTGGAGCTCTGCTTGGTCGCTGTCGGCTCGGGAGCTGCGAGTTTTCTCAAACGCAGGGGCCGAGGCAGCACCCGCCATGACCGCACTGGGGGCACTTGGGCCCTCCGCCAAAGCTTCAAGCCAGTCTTGCTCATCGAGCAACTCTTGCTCTGCCTCTTGCTGCTCTGTCTCTCCCTCCGACATGTCCTGAACGGATTCAGACAGCGCAGCCGCCTGGCGCTCAAAGGCCTCTTGCAGCAGGCTGGCATGCTTCTGCTTCACATCCTTGGAGGGCTTCTGCTCCCTGGGCACTAAGCTGACGCCACTCCATCCAGTCACTGTGACCCCAGTCGTCTCAGCATCACCCAGGGATCGGCACAAGAGGGAGATTCGATCCCAGCGCCCAAGCGATCGAAACTTCACTTCCGGAAAGCTTGCGCGCAACTTCCTGCGAAGCTCTGCATCTGACAGTCGCTGCAAAGTCGCCAACTCGATGCATTCAGCCAGCTCTTTCGAACCGCCAACTGGCAAAAAACTTACCCCTTCAAGGCGCGAGCTGGGATCACCCGGTCCCACCACGGCAAGGCTCCGAGATTTGTCAGAACGCTCGGCGGCGTTCTTCTCATCCTTCAGCCGCATCGTTAGGTGCCACGGGGTCAGCTGCAACTGCTCCAGCACCCAACGTGCGCAGAACACCAAATCGGACTCGCCCTTATCGGATTTGTCCCGGTGCTTCTCCAACTTCTCAAGTTCCAGCAAGGCCTTCAGGACCTTCTTATCATCGGTCAGTAAGTCAATGCCCAGCCGCTGCAAACGCTCCTGACCCCGCCTTGCAGCATCCAACAAGCAAACCAGCTCTGACAGAGAAGTGGCTGGCTGTTGGACACCTCCTTGGCCTCCTTGGATCCCCTGTTGCGCCACTCCCTTGAGCTCGGCCCGCGCAGATTTCGCCTCGGGCCACCACTGAAACACACTCTCGGCGATCTCATCGAACAGCGTCTTCTCAACGTCCTCGGCAACATCTCCGGAAGACTCCCTTTGCCACTTCCGCTTGGCCTCCAGGTACATGTGGCGGATGCACTCGTTGTTGAGCAAGGCAAAGTCCTTGCTCCAAGGGCTGGGAACCTGCTTCTTCGGCTCGATTTGCCCTACCAAGCAGCAGGTCTCCAGGCTTCGCAAAGACAGCTCCCATGCAGAGAGGCCCCGGCTCTGCACCAGCAGAAACTTCTTGTCAAGACTGTGACGAAAAAGCGGTGCTTTCTGCAGCAGGGAATCCATGATCGACATGCCTTGGCCCGGATTCAGACGTGCAGACATTCCTGGCAAAGTGCCATCTTGTACGGCCACGGGGTGAAGGCAAGCCAAAGGGCCCAAAGCTTGTCCGTCGTAGCTCCGAATGGAGTGTGGCATGTAATAGGATCCCACACGGTGGCTCATTCCCACGTTCAGCAACAGTGGAGGAAACTCCTCAACATACTCGTAAAGAACGAAGGGCTGGTCACCACGCAGGGACAATTCGGCCACGGTCGGCGCAGACCTTCCCGACCAGTGCGTCCCAGTGGCAGCCAAGCGGACCTGGTTGGGGACTGCAACGCTTCCTTTGGGCCTGGCCGGCCTCAGCAACCTTCCCCAGAATGGCTGCGCACAGAAGTTGTACACTTCCCGACGCGTCTCGGCACTGGATCTCAGTCGGATCTGATCTGATCCGGCTGCATAGCGTGCCCAGTTAGGTGGTCGGAGCGGATCACATGGTGACGGCTGAACAGACTCCGTCAGAGACTCCGGTTTAAGTGGCGCTGGCCGCAAACTCTGCCATAAGAGCCGGCATCGTCTCCAGAAAGGCGACTCCGGCGACTCGCGGCGTGATTCGCTGCCTTTTCCCGCAAGCCCGAGACCTGCCAACAGCAGCTCGTGGAAGTCCTGGAAGTCTGGATTTCGCAGGAGCCGATGGAGCTCGCCTCTGCGAAGGCAGAAACACACCGCAACGCAGCGCGTGTCGCCCTGCAAAAAAAAGAGAAGAGCACGACTCGGAAAGGCCGGGACACTGGTCGCGGAGGTATCAGCGGTGTCCGTAAGCGAGTTTGTCCAGAGACGGCCTGGTCCTGTTTTGGCAGGAGAAAGCTGACGATCCCCGACGCGCTTCTAGGGTATCATTGAAGCTGGTCCTCTCGATGAGATCAGGCCTGCGGAAGTCGTCGTGCTACCTTCTGGCTTCTCCACATAGCCACTTCCAATCTGATGGCGGGCTCGGCTACTACAAGCAGATAATCTAAACACTCAACCGAGCTGCTCAGCTCGCCTCGTTTGCGGCCGTGGCCGCGTCCATCTCGCCCCAAAAGTCTCGGCCTGGGCGGGCATTAGGTTCACTCTGCGCTTGCAGAGTAGCACACAGCACGCTCTCTAGACTCTCACCAGACCCATTGGTGCAAGATTCGGACTGCCACGGACGAAGGCAATTGAAAATCGGCGCGTTCTGTGCGTACTTCAGGCATCAATGACGGGAGACTTGGCGACAGCTTTGGTGAAGGTCGAGCCCGTTGAACCGGCGACTCCACTTCCACCATTGGCGTTGCCATGGGTGTGGATGGCACATCGAACATTGGTGAGGGCAAAGGCGTTGCAGAGGTTATCTCGTTCCGGTCGGGAAGTGGCTGCGAAGCACCTTGCCCCTCCTCGTGTGGCTCCACCGTGCTCTCAGGTCGATCGTTGCTTTCTTGCTCTTCTTCTTCCTCCAAGCTGGGCTGCAGCAACATGGAATTGGTCATCACAGGGCATACGGTATCGAGCACTATGCCAGCCCAGTCACCTACAACATAGAAGTCCCCTCGCTGATGCGCCATTGCGAGGTCAAGGTCAAGGTCAGGTCAACTCAAAGATGTTCGAAAGTTCAGCGCTGCTGGCATGATCCAAGCCTCATCCTTTCGAGGCATGATGGCTGTCAGCTCACCCAGCTGAGGAAGCGCAGCTTGCAGCCGCAAGCAGGACAGTGCATCACGGCACCGATAAGTCGACACTCCATGCAATGCCCCCACGCAAGGAGTACCTTCCGCTTCCTGAAGCCGTAACTACAGCTGGCATGCGTTCGATGAGGGGATTTAGTTGTGCACTCCAAAGTCTTCACGTGATCGAGGGGACCTGCTTTTCGGCTCGAGCACTGGGAAGGCCATTTGGCCTCTTTGTGCACTCGACCAGCGAGAATGAGAAGAGATCAGGGTTGTGAAACTTTGTGAGCTGTCCCCTGCATCACAGGGGAATCCCGCTACTTGACCTAAGCAAGGACGCCATCGTGCAAGACGTGAACCAGTGGCGCACAAGTGCCGAGCATCCAGGTCTCTCCCGAAGACCTCCCTATTTACCTGCCAAGCTCCCGACGCTTCGCAACACACGGCACACGACAATGAGCGTGTTGAGCAGCGAACCTCTTCCAAAGGCATCGGGTGGCACTTGCCGTAGAAGTTTTCCAGATTCTCGACTTCGTCGGCAACCTGACCAGTCAACAAAAAAGGAGATCAGGCTTTCTGCGCACTTTGCAGAAGCACCTTTTCCAGCTCAAAACGCAACAAGCGCGCAATGTAGTCGTGGTCGTGGATCTTCTTTGTCTGTGGATACCTCGTTGCTCAAGTATGTTCCCAGCGCCACAGTTGGATACTGTCAATGATATCGCGAACGATGCTGGCAACGATGATGGTGATCGTGGTGGTCGTGCGACGGTGGTGATGGTTCCCGGACAGATTGAACACACTATGGCACTATGGGGTTCTTGTGCCAGGAATAAGGAGGATTGGTGAGTGCTGCTATTCCGCACTCCCGCTGTGGCGTAGTGCATAGTTTACACTCGAGTCCTATCTTTCCGCGTCCTCCGAAAAGAGCGATCAGGTTTGGCCTCGAAAAGTCTGAATCCCGCGAATGCATTTTGGACATGCATGCGGAGAAGCATTTTGGCCGTGGTCCTGAATCCTACCAACACACCGGCGCGGGGGCAATCATTTTCATCCTGTCTCATTCCTTCCCACCAGCGCTTATGCTAGTACGGGAAATGGTCCAGTACTGGCAGCAGCACTTGTATATAGTAGCCGTTGTCCAAGTACCAGTAGTAGTAGTAGTAGTAGTAGTAGTAGTAGTAGTAGCAGTAGTAGTAGTAGTAGTAGTCGTCGTGGTGGTGGTGGTGGTGGTGGTGGTGGTGGTACTTGTAGTGGTAGTGGGAATGTTAGTGGTAGTGGTAGTGGTAATGGTAGTGGCAGTGGCCCGCAGTGGGGCGGAGCCAGGCCCCCTGTACGATTCGCTCCTCCAAGAGCTGAGCGTCGTTGTGCGCTCTTTCCGTGCCCGCGCCGCCCTGGCACGAGCTGGAGACGTAATTGCCTTGTACCTCCTGTTCTCCTCGCTTGGGCTCCTGGTGTGGTCACCCGGGGCGCCGCGGTGGTGTCATGATAGACAGTCCCTGGTGTGGGCCTGCCATGGTGTGCTCCGGTTGACAAGGGAGGGCCTGGGGCAGGATGCTTGCGTGCAGTGTGGGCGGTGGACGCCGCTCGCAAATTGCCCACTTTGAGCATCTTTTGGCATGCTTAAGGGCGTGACGCGGCCCATGTTCCTTTTGTGTTCGTTTTGCTGCGGGAGCTGCGCGCGGCTGCCTGCACTCGTACGTACAGCTACTTCTTTCTGCTGCTTCCACAAGTGTCGCTAGTGGGAAGTCTTGTGTGACGTTCTCTTTTGGCTTTTGGGAGACTTTAGGAATAGTATGTGGACGTTTTGTTGCGTGTTCTTTTGTAAGGAGTGGCAGTCGTAGTAGCAGCAGCAGCAGTAGCAGTAGTAGGAGTAGGAGCAGTAGCAGCAGCAGCAGCAGTAGTCGTCGGACTGGTACTAGCAAGTGCTCGTAGCACTGGTAGGAGCTGCGGTAGAAGTAGGACAAGGAGGAGGAGGAAGAGAAGGAGTTCTTATTCGTTGGGCCGTCGGCAATCACACCCCCACCTCAACACACGGGAAGCGATGTGCGAAGGAACCGGCAGCACCGGCACGTCTCCAAACAGTTGGAATTCACTATTCACCACCCATCAAAAAGTTCCGACAGCCACCACCAGGTCAACAGTGTCAGGGTTTGGGGTTTCAGTAACAGTCAAGTCAAATCCTTTCGGGTTCTGGGTTGGCACCAATGTGGGCTTGGCACGCGGTGTGAAAAGCCCTTGCCGCCTAGTTGCAACTCCAAGGTTTGGTGCACGACGTCCCCATTCAGAACATAAATCATAGTGGGCTCCAGGCACTTCACCTGGTGTTTCTTGGCGGAGTGTCCGCTAGGCATCTGCAACTGCTTTCTGCATAGCTTCCAGGCAAGCGGCAGTGGCAGTTCTTCGCTTGTCCGATCCGAAAACTGCAACATCCCCTGCGACGCGTCACGTTAGCACGGCCACTGCAGCCACTCTGAAGGAAGTAGTACCTATGCCAAGATGCCCAGAACCACCCCACCACCAAGTTCAGCCACTGGCTTGCTGCCCTTCCTTAGTCCCGTGCGGTGCAGCAAGATGCGAGACAGTGGCCGCCAGCCGAGGCACAGGACTTCCACCCTACCTGCGTGAACGATGAACATCTCAAATCCCATTTCACCTTCCTGAAGAAGCTGGGATGGCGCAAGGCTCTGCAGAACATTGCCGAGCCTTCATCACGGCCATGCCGGGATAGTACAACCTCTGAGGTCGGAATTAAGGACGATCAGACTCGGCTCAAACATCATCTACTCCGTTGATCTCCGTTGGACACGGCCTCGGCTCCAAGTACTCGCAGATGTGTTTCACGAAGTCCCGCTCCTGAATGCTTGGTGAGGTTCCACCAGATTCCTCTCACTCACTGCTACTAGCTATGCAAGCTAGAAGCAAACTTCGCAAAGAAGGGCAGATTGAGGAAAGCGTCCGTGTCACCTGCTGCCAACAGGAGAAAGATGTGTGTACGGGACATGCACTTCTGTGTCGCCAACTGGGAAGATGCCTATCAAATTCTGCATCTTCTCCAAGTGTTTCAACAGGGGGTACTCCTCCAGGCCTCCTGACACTGAAGGAACTCAGATGAAGACAATGTGACTGCAGCTCTGTCCTGTCATGTCAACCAGGGTGAAGAAGGCGGTCCGAGACAGCATCAGCAATGAGGAGTCTTCTGAGCACCGGCAGCTGTGGCTTCGCAGTTCCATCACCCCAAGTAAACCTGTGCCAGGTGTGGTGTTCGTGATGCGTGGAGCATCGTCTGCTACAGCTGCCTGCGTCACCACAGATGCCACCTGGTGCAATTTCGCCTCGTGCGACATGCACTGACTCGACCCTGCGGTTACACGTCAACTAGCCTTATGCGGAAAATAGTGCCACACGCCTATGACAATCGCGGGCGAAGATGGATTTCGGACGATCGTCTTCTCCAGTCTTCCAGACAGCAGTATGCACATCCATTCTCCTCAAGATTTCGGCATGTTTCTGGCCAAGGACAAAACAACAGAAGTTCTGCTGGCAGTGGGACGCGTCCTGGTTGGCCTTGCTTGAAAACCGTCGCGCCCCGCGCATACTCCACAGGCACGACAGCATCGCACAGAGAATGTCGAAATGCATCTGAAGCTTGCTCGAACAAGATAATTTTCCTCAGACAGGCCATAGCTCATCTCGTACTGATTACGGTTGTTGTTACAAGTGCTGAAAAATTACTGCTGCTATGTTTGTCATTGCTGTTATGGTCCTGGTTGCTATTTTTGGTTCGTATTGTCAGTGTCACTTTTGTTGTTGTTTTTGTTGTGCTTATTACTCCTATTCTTACTATTGGTTTTGCTGTGAGAGGGGGGCGGCCCTATGCAAATTTCACACAGCAACTCCAAGCGAACTCAAGCCTGTGAGGAGGTATCTTGAAAGGAGCTAACTGTGAGGAGTGCCTTGCACTTTGGCAGCCTCACTGGTCGACTGATTTCGTTACTACGAATAATGTTACTCATGCTATCCGTACGTTCAGTATTCTCGTCCTTAGTCGCGGCGGACGACCGCGTCTCGCGCGCAGTGTCGGTCATTTGCTCCCGTTTGTTGTCTTTGGCAAGAACCGAAAACGCTGTAAAGGTCGAGGTTGTCGTGTGTTCCCAGCATGCAGTGTTTCGACAGTTTTTGACGTTCAAAACACTGCTTTTAAAGCCTTGCACTTGGGCGCCCCAAGGGCATGCATCATGCACATCAGCTGGGGGGTTGTGGTAAAAACCCTTTCTGGGATTTCGCGCTTCTGTCTTGGATGACAACCGGGCCCCCTCTGATGCTTATGCTTTGGGGCGCCTTGATGGGACTCAAAACTTCTGGAAAGGTCCCGCTGATATTTTCTTGTTGTTCCTAATTCTGTTATGCTTCTCATTTTCGCTGATATCGTAATTAATCTTGTGACTCTTAGTGTGACTCTTAGTGTTGCCGTTATTGAGATGAAAAATTCATAGTCTAGCTGCTGCTAGTTTTTCATGCTACTACTAGTGTGAGCTCTTTTTCTTGGTGTTATTATTGGGAATAAGTTCTCTAACATGTTTGCCGACCTTCACTTGTCATGACTGTTGTTCTTATTGTTAGTATTGCTGCAACTGGTTATGTGCTTGTTTTTAGGTTTTTACTATAGCATGCTGAGCCACAGAATCCGAATACATGCCTAGGACTGTACCTACACAACACTTCCCACCGCTCAGATACAGGCCAGACAACACAGTACAATAAATGCTTGCGTCCAGATCGGCGAAGAAACGGTGCATCATAATTGTTGTCAACTTCCCCCACTCAGTTATAAAACTCGACCGCCAGAACTCAACGATCACCCCTTCAAGTATAAAACTCGATCCCGAAGAACACACCTGTCGAGGCCTCAAAGCACAGCAGTTCATCACTGTCCAGGAACAAACGAGAACACAAAGACCTCTGTACTCAATGAATCTTCTTATTGCTACATTGTGGGTCAATGCTGCGTATGTTCTCATGGCGTGGATGGCTACGAAAGAACATAAATTTAAATAGGATAACGAATAAACGAGGGCATGTAACCACGAACCATGGGTACGGAGCGCATGGAGTACTATGATGCTCAGGGGCAATGCGGACCATGACCACTGAAATAGAACGATGGCAATACAGTTCAGGCAGCGACAGCATGGGTCTAGAGTACAGATTCGTAAGATGCCGGCAAGAAGCTTGAGGAGCCGCGAGAAATCTCTTCGGGCACTTTGGCTCTGCATAGACTCATCCTCAGAAGATCGATTCGCAAACCGCTAGAGCTCAAAAAAAAGGAATCTCCAAACCCGGCGCCAGCCAGCCAGCATCTATGGCACTGCCAAGGGGTTTCGAGCCGGAACTTCCGCACTGCCAGTGGGAAGCCAAGTAGCCCACTTTCGCAGCAGCGCCTTACCGAAAACCACATTGCATCGTCAAAAAACTGCTCACAAGAGAACATAGCATCTTGGGCCATGATCAGAACTGAGCCAAGCGTCTCTGTCATGAGCAGGAAGTCCATGCCGTCGACACTCTGGCTCCATCTCTGGCATGTATTATGCACTTTTCGAGATGGTCGAGCCTCTACCAGCAGATTTGATGCAAACTGCATGCACCATTCGCTGAAAACATATCGTCTTGACCTTTTGAAGACTGGCCGCCGGGTCGAGTAGTATAGCTTGGACGAAATCAGCAACGAAGAGTGCTACGGCACTTCCTGTTTCTCACCACAGCTCAAGTGACAACCTAGCTCTGGCAAAGCTTGGGCTGTTTGCCGCTACTTCTCACGACATGCGCTCTGGTTGAAGCGGTATGGTCGCAAGTTGGCAGTCTCTATCCGTTCAGAGCCAGCAGCGCAAGTCGATCATCAGTACCGACATGCAGCAGGACCAAGCACTGCACAATGACTCATGACGGCACATGGCGTTCTTAGCCACGTTCCGCTTGGCTGACTAGAATCTGCGCTACACCTCTGTAGCGCCTTCGGCTTCAATGGCCTTGGTGGTTTCAACTGCAGCTTGACCAATGCGGGCGCCACACAAGCTCTCCGGATTGTGCCTCGGAGACGGGCACCGCCTCGCTTTGCGAGTCCCCGATCGGCTCAGCCTCAGCTCCAGCGGTGCCGGACTGTCCACGGACTGTCCGTCCGCCTCCTCCTTGCAGCCGAAGTGTCGCCCTTTCCTCGGAGGGACACCTCTCCGCGCAGCCTCCTCAGCCACGGCCCGGTGACTCCCCTCCCCTGCTCACCCCAGCCCCTGGCCTGGCTTCCACACCTGAGTCGAAAACGTGCAGCTCATTTCCGGGCTAGGCTCTGCCACCATCATGGAACAAAGCAGCCATGCGGCTGTCGTAGGCTGGGCAGCCGTGGCTTTTGCAGATTCCACAGCAAGCAGGATCGCAACAGCCACATTGACACGAAGGCCTCCATGCCTTGTGAGGTTGAGTCTCTCAGAGCTTGCACAGACTGCGCAATAGGGCTCAGCTGCTCAGCGACTGCCGGGCCGGTGGCCTTCTTTGCACATCAGCTGTTGGCAACTGGCAGGTGAGCTGCCATCAGCAGCACGAGAAGCAAAAGCCGCATCTTTCCTGCACGATGCGACCGAAGCGACGAGAGCAAGAAACCTGACAACTTGGCCAGCCGACCCGGTTTCGGCCTGGGCACACTCTCGGAGCTTTAGAATGATTCTGCACTTGAGCCGTCTTGGCGACAGGACATGCACCGAGCTGAGCTGTAAGGCTTGCAAGACACGCATGTTTCGACCCTCGCAGACCATGGCACTTCGGCAGTCCCTGATTTCTCGGATACACAGTGCCGCGAGTGCTTCTGTACGGATACCGACAGTGCCGGTGGAGCACAGCCTTCCAAAGTTGAATAGCGTACTTCGCGTCGCTCTTGTAACTGTTGGCAGGCCGAGTGCGAATTTCAGCAAGGCTCCAGGTCGAAGATCACGTTGATACCTCCTTGGCACCGGAGTGGCACAACACCGCGTAGTGTTCGGCAAGGCGTAAAACGTCCATGTGCATCCGGAAACCGGGACCGAAAGGACAGTGCAAACCTGAAGATGTCATGCCACGGTGCGTCTGCCTTGTCCTTTGCCACTGGATCCTGTTTCAGATTTCAAGTCGCGCAGTGTACAGACTCTGTGGTTTGGGCTGCTTGGTCCTTCTCCTGTTCGGGCTTTGGCTCGGGCAGCATGTGCATGTACCACCTTTGCCCATGACAGCAGGACTCGGCAAAGCTAAGCACGACCCAGCCCAGGGAGTACTTGGAGCCACGCCCGGGCAAAATGAAGAGGAGGATGAGTAAGATCGTCGCACTGGGCATGCCGGGTTTGCACAAGCAAATCTTGGATCCCGCATCCTGGGAATCTGGCATCCCAAGCAACTTCTTCGTAGCCTCACCTGCTCAAAGACAAGAGAGCACAAGAGCTCCGGTGGCAGCGGAGGAAAGCGTGCCTTCCGTGCTCTCGGAGGCACCCTGCACGACCATGTAGACCTATCTCCGACATCTCTCATCCGTTTGGAGCAGCGGAGACTAGGAGGTGCTCTGCTTGCAGGCATGCTTCCGCGGTCTCCCAGGAGAAGCCCAGGACAAGAGCCGCCACTTTCACGAAAGCTTCGGAGTTGGAAAGAATCCAATCTGACGGCAGGCACAGTGTGTGCGAGATTCCGTGGCCGCCGTGGCTGCGCCTGCTTTCCCCAGAAGCTTTGCAAAAACCATCGGAAGGAAGACCAAGGCCTCAGAAGCGGCAAAAAAGAAGGGAAAAGAGCGTGCTTGCCGCGAGCTCTGCTCTGGTTCTGCCGGGAGTCTGATGCCAGGAGAGCCAAGGCGTTCGAGGCCGTGAGCTTGGCCGTGTGGTGCGAGCCGTCCGCACCATCGGCTGTGATGTGCCAGAGGAACCACCTCGCGTTTGCAGCCACATCTTAGACTTTCCGGCCCCTTGACGACCGGTGCCAGCAAGTGACTGGCAAAGGAAGAAGACCTCACTGACAAGCGAAAAGTAACTGTGCAAGGGCTTTGCAGGGCGCAACTGCCGGCAAGCCACGAGCCAAGCAAAGGACATCAGCAGACTCTCTGACAACGTCCTCTGCAAAATGCAAGGCTGAAGCGTGGTGCAACAGATTCGAGTATTCGCAGCCTGCGACTTCGCTGCAGGAAATATCGCATTCTTGTTCCCGAGGACCTGCACCGCCGAGACTCTCGGAATCGTGGAGGCAGCGTATGCCTGAGGCCCGTACCCACCAGCCGGCAGCCGCACCTGAGAGACAGGCTGAACAGCTCCAGGCTCCACTTCCATGTACAATCCTTCCTGGTTCTGCAAAGTATGGAGCTACCCTCAAGTTTGCTGTAAGTCTGTTCGGTCTCCCTTTCTCTCGCTCTGTTTTGGGTCGGGTCACGAGAACGGCGGCAAAGAAGAAAGCGGCCAAGCAGAAGCAGAACAACCATGACCTTCATCAGCAATTTTACCGACACGACCCTGCCATCCACACGGCACTGCAGGGTCCCGGCACATCTTCTCCTGAAATCTGTAGACTTTCACCGTGCCTGAACCTGGCCCCGGGCACGGCCTCAGAGTCGCGGAACCAAGCAACACGTCCAGTGGGCATCTTTTGAATGCATCATGGGACGGTTCAAGGGCTCCTGCTCCAGTTACGGTGAAGCGCACCCACATCGAAGCCAGAAACCCGACCTTGCCAGAGTTTGGCTCCTAACCGGCGAAGAACTAAGAGCAAAACGCACCGAGGTCTGCACGACAAAGCCTGCGATCTCAACTTCCATTGTCTCCAGGACTTGAGACATGCCGGACCTGGCCCGTTGCTGCTGCTTGGTGGACCCTGTGCTTGGTGGAGCGACGCCGGGAGCACGCTTCCGAGGCTTCCGAGGCTGCCGAGGCTGAGGTCTCGCCCTGGCTCCGGAGCGGAGAAAAACGCAGACTTTCCCGATCAGAAGCTCTGCAGGCAAAATCCGCAAGCGCCTCTGGCTGCGGAGCCCTCAGTGCAGGCAGGCATGTTTCCAGTTTTGGTTCAGTGCTTTCAGGCGCAGTCACAGTCGACTTTAGGCACCATGCTCACCTGCGTCGCCCTGCGAGAAAGGACGCACAGAAAGGGATACAAGCTTTTGACATCTTTGCCTGTGTCGCATCGGACCTTGCTTGCACAGGTGCGGATCTCCGGTCAAGCCGCGCGGCGACTTTGCCGTCAGTGCATGTTCTGGGGCCCAGGCTCTGCGAGAGGGGTTGCCTGCAACAGGTTGCCAAGACCAACGCCCTTGGCCCGCCACATGCAAGCCGCGGGCCTCCGCCGATTGAGGCTCCTTCCTCCGTGCACGGCTCCATAAGACATGGGGAAGGAAACCAATACATGTGACACTGTGACACTCCTCAGCTTTGCCGAAACCCAGCTCATGAGGCCAAGAAGCCTCGCGTGACGCGAGATGCTTTGCGCAGATGCTTTGCCCTCTGCGCAGTGACCACACGAGAAAACTGAGTCCGGCCACACTGTCATGCAGCAGACCTCACTGGCATCTGACATCTCGTGCCCAGGCACATGAGGGTGAGAGCTAAGCTTCCCGCTCCCAAGAAGTATCCGTACGGGGAGGCACTGAAGACCTGAGCTCCGGCACGGACAAGACAACTGCCGAGCTGCGCTGCCCGGCAGTGGCAGTTGCTGTCTGACTGCCGTTATCTGTGCCAGGCAGTAGGCAATTAAATCTCATCTGTCACGCTGTTACCCCACAGTTCCTGTTTGCCGTGGTGCGTACACATGTTGCAGCTTGGGCACCTCTATCTTCAGAAAATCTGAGAAAGCATCGGCCCCTGCGAGGACAAGGCCACTCCGAATGAGAGGAGCAAACGATGCTACGGTCTCAGATGCCAGAGCACCTGCAAAGCCAATGAGGTGCACTCCTGCAGGAAAGCTCACGGGCGCTGAGAGCTCCAACTACCCCAAACAGCTTGCAAGCGCTCAGCCTGCGATCTGAAAGGCTCGCATGCGGTCGGTCCCCATGTGCTTCTCCAGCCGCTTCCGCAGGCTGCGACAGAGTGGTCAACGCGTGGGCCGTGCTCCGCACACCGCACTGGCTCTTCGAGGCGCTGGCACGCTGGGCAACAGGTACCTTGGGCTTTGAAAAAACTCGCAAATTCTAACTCGCACAGCTAGTTTGCTTGCAACATCTTGCAACACTTGCAGACAGGCCAGGGCACAGTATCAAGAAGCGGAGAAAGGAGAAGACATCGCTCAGGATCCTAGACTCACTCGACCTGGGCAGAAGAGCTGCAGGCCGCAGAGCCCCCAAAAGCGACAAACCAAGCTTGCGACGTCGACCCCCTGGCACAGGGAGGGACGAGGCATTTCCGCGCGGGCAGAGCTACCGCCGCTACATGTCTTGGCTTAGGTCTTCGCGCAGCCAGCTTCCAAAGCTTTTTCATAACCTTCCGACGAGCACACCCGTGCCACAGATCCCGGATAGGCGTGAGACTTTTGTATCGCAGCTCAGCCACCATGAAGAGAAGCACCACCGAGAACAGAGAGATGCTGGAGACCAGGACCTTTCTGGTGGCAACCTTCCAGGTTCCGCACAGCAGGACGAGAGATCCTTCCGCCCTGATGCTCGCCTGGAGGGCGGGAGTGTTCCACATGTAGAAGACCGTCCTCGGAGAAGCAAGCGTGAGCAAACGCACGTCCGAAGGTTTGCCTGAAGGTCTGTGCCGCCAAAGCACAGAACAAAGCTCAGCGAGGCCAATAGCGAAAGCGACATGGCCTGGGAGCTTGGACTTGCAATTGGGGCTTCTGTCACACTGTTCAATCGGTGGAGGCAAGCCACGATTGAGGCTTGCTTCTCCTCGGCCTGTCCCACGCGGTACAAAGCACGCAGCAGGAACCGGATGCAGGAAGCTACAGAGGTCCTTCCAGATGCCAATCCCGCCGTCCTGCCAAAAGGAACGGGCGTTGCTATGAAGTTGCGGCAGACAAGGAAGCAGCTTTCTGCCCAGGTGCTGACTTGGCATGTGACACTGCTTCGGTGGCATCTTCTACGGCCTGCGACTACCGAGCTCAGGCTCTGAAAACAGCCAGGGGAGGAAGCTGCAAGAATGTCAACGCCTGGCCTTGATAACCGGCTGCGGCACAAGCTGCGCTAAGCTCGGATCCTGCAGTTTGGCAATCAGATTGTCGGCTCTGCCCCTCTCTTGAACCCTTCCGCAGTCCTGAGACCTGTGTTCTCGTCTCACATAGCCCGCGGAATGACCGCGAGGTGGCCTCAAAGGCAACACAAGCGAGAAAACAACGCGCACCGTCTGGCAGACAGAATGGAAGTCGCGCTGAGGTAGTGCTGGCGGCATCATGTCTGCCAAGATGCGAAGCTTCAGTGTTGCCATCTGCCGATACGTGAACGGCCTGGAACAGAGCGGGCAGAAAGATCAGAAAAGGACTGACGGCACACTCGGCGACATCTCCTTAAATTCTGCAGCGTGGGCCAGTTGAAGGACTGCCAGCAAGATGGCGTACGCAGGCATCCTCAAAGGATGCGGCAGCTTGACTTTATAAGGACACATGAAAAGAGCGCTTTCCTTCCTCCCTTCCAGGCGTGCGGCAGTGCTATGGAAATGGATTCCAACAAACGGTTGGGCCGGGCTGGCCCAGCTTGGCTTGAAGCCCATGGCTGCAGGTCCACGAGTTCTAGACCACTTCGTGCCGCTTCGTTCGGCAGACTGCTCTTAGCTAGGGTGACTGCATTTCTCCGAGTCTGCAGGCCACACGGACTTCATTCGTCTCACAACAACGACAAGCGCTTGCCACTTGCAGGTGGCGGCGGCAAGCTGGCAGCGCCTTTTAGAAGTTGATATTGCTTCAGCGGAGGCTTCAAGGAAAACCGATCACAGGGCCAATGCGAACTGCACTTGCCCTCCAGGTATGCTTTCTCCTTCTTGCGCCGTGTGGCCTCGGAGCGCCGCGCACGAGGCGCGTAAGCCACGCAGACGCCCAGCCTTGCGGGACGTTGGCAGGAGGCCTGCGCACCACTTTGACTGGCATGCACAAGGCGTGAGTTGAAGAAGACCATGCTGTCCGGCGGCACGTCGGGCTTCAGCACCTGAGACTGGAAACTGTCCTCAGGTGCACGGACGTGATCAGACCTGGCGCTCCTTTCCCAATCATAGGTCACCCTGTGCGACCCCGGAACTACGCAGGTTCCGGACTCACCGGGTGCACTGCCGAAGTGTGTGTAGACGGCTTGTATCGACAGACCGGCATGCGAAGGATGTTGGTCCTTGTGAAGCCAGGGTTGCAGCTTGGTTTTCGCAGGTCGTGCTTCTGCGATGATCGCATCGAGGCTTACGACCAAGTCGGTCGTACCAAATATGCGGGCGAAGGCAGTGTGAACCCGTGGGTGCGCTCGTATCGACCAAGCGAAGTCTGCTTGCGGAAGCCCGTAACTTGTGACGATGCCCCGAAAACCCTTTGGAAAGTTCCACGTGCTCTGTTGCGTGGGATCGATGCTTGGCGCCACGGCCTTCATAGCCGTCCAGAACTCATGCAGGAAATCCTGGCAGCTGCCCCTGCTTCCCAAGATGCCCTGCAGCACGGCAAATCCCTGATCCTCCAAATGCCGTAGGAAGTCCGCGTTGGCTTCCGGGAAGATGGCAGTCCCAAGACAGCGAAGGGACTGAGGACCAAGCAAAGCGTGCCTTGGTCCCTCAGGTTCCTGCCCTATGCCACTCGTCGACGGACTGAAGAGACAACGTCGCTTTGCAGGGGGGCTTGCCTGTTGGAGTTCCTCGTCGTCCGAGAGATCAATTACTGGCACCTCCACCCAGTTGGCATAACTGGGTCCCACCATCACGCAACGTAGAAGTGCTTCCGGATCTTTACGAAATGTTAATCTAATCCTGTATGTCAGCTCTCCTGACTCTCCTGCACTGATGCACCAATGTCTCCGATATATGATTGCAAGTCACTGTACGATCCGTGCACATGCACCCACGGTCTTGCTAGTCTAGTTGCTGCTATGTTGCAGGGACCGCCTCTGAACTGCAGCACCTTTGTTCCTCATGGTGCCTCGACATTCACACCCAAGCTATCTCACCTTCGGTCTAAGTACTGTCTCACTCACCTACCTCCAGCGAACAGAACTGAGGTTGTCCATCCTTGTTTGGGCGCGTTGTTTTCTTTTTGTGGGCCTGGAACTGCAAAGTTTCGCTGCTGACCTCGAGCCCAACTGCTGCAACGGGCAGCATGTGTGCTGAAGGCCAGTGCAGGTCATGACCAGTGCCGCAAGATGCTGCAAGAGATGTCACTGGGCTTACACAAACTGCTGCTTTTCCTGCCACTGCGCGCACTGCGCATGTGGTCATGGCGCGACCGTCGAAGCTGGCATGGCACGGTGCGCTCGAAGCTCTGCATGGAGCCCAGCGAGCTCAACTCGAAGAAGTCCTTGTTTCGTCCGTGATGCCGAGATGCCGTGGTGCAGCGGGGCTCATCGCAATGGCCCTGTCTTGCTACCACCGCCGGGGGAATCGCATAGGAGCATCATCGCTTGCTGACCGGCACCTGGCGGGTGTTCTGCATTCGGTGAAGGGATGTGCAAGGCCAGGGGGCGAGGGCGAGCCCTGTGTGGTTGAATGTGACAACAGGGATAAACGCTGCCAGAGAAACATGCGAAAGGAGATGTGGGTAGATCCGGCCCGTCATCTGCCAATCTTCTGAAGAGATCCAAAGCGACGCGCGAGACCGTCTCCTGGCTCAGACTCTCACAAAAAACAATCAGCGCCTGGTTGTGCCTCGCACCCGGGCTCGGCGTCCTCGCCCCACATCTCTCCCCACTTTCGCAGCAAACGCCGTCCTGCTCATACTCGGGCACACTCCCAGCTCTGTGGCCCTTTGGGCTTAGAAGGCAAAAAACGCCATGGACACGTCTTTCTGGCGAGTGGCGCAGCGCTTGCCAATTACTGGGACGCTCGAGCACCGCAGCCGCATTCTCTGGACGCAGCATGTCGCAGCCAGACTTGGCAACGATGAAGTCTACAAGGCGAACGCCCAACCTTGTTGTCTTTCGGCATCTGCACACTGCATTCTGGCAAAGATGTACTTGAGCTTTCTCAATACCCAAGTGCTTACTGAGTGCCGAACTGCGCCTCTTCGTAACCTTCAGCATACTGTCCTGGGATGTGTCAGAACAGGCCGTGACGGTTCATGTCAAAACCTGGCCAGCTAGGCGCAGGCTGGCCCACAGAACATGAGGAGAGAAGCGGGCTTGAAACAGCATAGTTCTATCATTGTGGCTGTGTGCTGTCAGAAGTCTCCCGAGGCCGCTGTTTATTTCATCCGTCAGCTTCAGAAGCGCTTCGTGTGGATCGTTGCCCTGCCGAGGAATCCAATCGGCCAGCGGCACCTGAGCCCGCAAACCCAGCCTGTGGTTTCGGTATGCCGTGACGCTTCAGCAGTTGTGAAACATGGACATGGCAAGCCTCTGGTGCTGCAAAGCCGTCACCAGACTATCTAGCCACGAGCCTCGACACCGAAGGTGCAGCTGTGCTACCGTCGATGGATCGAAACTCCAGCATGGATCCACCAATCGTGTGTCCAAGTGCCAGGACCTCGCCAGTGGTGCGGGCTTTGAGAAGACATCCCAGAAAAGGGCAGGAAGCACCAAAGAAATGTAGGCGAGTTGCGGAAACAGGATTGGCGTTGGAACCTGCTTGGCGGATGGCTTCTCCAGCAGGAGTGCTTTGAACGATGTCCACCTGAAGAACTCAAAGGACAAGAGCCATGGATAGGGAGCCACTCACACTGTGAGCTCCTGACCTCTGCACTCCGGTACCATCCATGTCCTTTTTGTCTCAGTTTTTGGATCTGGTGCCGCTGTCGCATCTGAAGTGCGCCCAAGTGGCTGATTCCCGTCCGTACCAACCCTTTATGTGACGAGAGATCCAATCATCTTGCAACACGGCATAGCCGGGAACAGAGTACGACCTGCCCTCAGTTGCGCGAGCGTGCTGCTGAGCATCTCAAACAGAAACCGGTGCTGCTGATGGACGTGCAGAGTCAAGTTCAATCTGCTGAACTGTTCCAGGAGGTTCTGGGGACCGTAGAACCTGGGGCTGTTCTCGGAGTGCCATGGATGCTCAAAGACACCAAAAAAAGCCACGCGAATGGCACCGGGCACCGAAATGCTTGCGGAGGGGGGCGCAACGTCCGCCATCCGCGCCTCTCACCGGCAGCTGCCAAGTTCGTGAAGTCCACAAAAGTGGTCCAGTCAATGCGCCCAGCACCTTTCCATGAATGCAATCCCCATGCAAGGCCATGCCCACACACCTTACTTACATCTCTTACATCCTCCCTCCGTGCGGGCAGGCCGCACTTCGGCCAAAAGTTATGGCATTCTGGCAAGCCTGCCATGAGTTCCTGCACGCAGACTCCGTTCTCATGCGACTGCTCAAAGGAATAAAATCCATGCAATGTCATTCGTCAGTCATGCGGGATCGGTGGCACGAAGATACCATCATTGTCTCCATCGACGCTGAGGCTGTGGACCAATCCCTGCCCGACACCGCAGATCAACCCGTCTCTGCCAGCAACCCGCATGCATACAATGCGCCTCGAAGTTGGCACCGTAGTCGAGACTAAGCTTGTAGCCGCCAGTAGGGCCCAGGAGACAGTCTACCAAGTCGATGAAGTTGTCCTGCAGCGTAAACATCGAACAACGTTGGCAGCGAACGTGGTGTGCAGCGTGTCCTCCCCTGGCCGCACCTCAGACGTCAAGCAAAAGCTTATGCTCCCAACCAGCTTCTATAGCATCACTGGTTTTCACGGCTTGCACAGCATACGGGCAAGTTGCGACGACGTGGACAGCCGGATAGCCTGAGCCAAATGCAGCTAAACATAATTAGACACAGGGCAGCGCCAAGTGCTGGGAAAACTGTCGAGATCCCGAGATCCCCACCCAGCTTTCTGTAGAACAAGGCCAGTCGTGCTATGCGTGGCTCATGGGCATCAAACCACCACGCAAGCTCATCGCAGCGCTCCTCCGCTTTGCAAGGCAGCAAAAAACGCGAGGTCGGCACTTCGGCACCCTCCCCTCAGCCTCCCCTCTCATTTCCCTCTCTCCTCCGACAACGAAACCGGGAGCAGGTGGGTCTGCGTCGCATGCAGGAACTCAGCCTCCACATCCGGCAAATCACCTCGTGCCAAGAGTTGCCAAGTCTCGTGAAGTTGCACCCTTTTTTCCTTTAGGCATCTGGGCACATGGCGCAGCTGGTGGCGCACCTGCCGAAGGCAGTGCGGGCGACAAGACACACCCCGTCGCTGTCGCCTTCTCTTGAACTTATTCCGACCTGGCGATAAATGTCCCGAGGCATGGCCACAGAACTTCGCAGCTCACCTCAGCATGACCGAATCGCTGCGATGTGTGCAAAGCACTGCGGTCAGAGCAGCCCGTTGCAGACAAGTGTCTGTCCAGACGACTGGTGACTGCGCGGAGTCGATCCGATAGTTTTGAGTCCTTCCTTATCCGCATCCGCATATTGTGCGATGCGAAAGGGATTCCTTAGCCCGTCCGGAGCAGCTTTCACGGAGTGAAACTGCAAGATCCTGCAAGAAGTAGATATTGCCACCGCAGCAAAGCTGCCAAGATCCAAGTGATTCACCAACTCACTCAAGCTGAAGGCAATGGCCAGACACGACGTGTTTACAGCTACCTTGCGCTTCGGCAGCTGCCCCCACACACAAACAAGGTGCACGAATCAAGTGCGAGGCCTTCTCCTGAGCCTCACGGCCGATGGATGTGTTGGCCATAGCCTTTGCACGGCGCACTGCTACAACACGCAGGGTGCAATGCATGGGCCGATGCCGGCTGAGCGAATAACGCAGAATGTGCTCTCAGTGTAGCTGCGCACTTGTTGAATCGTTCCTTCGGTCCATGCCTGTCAGGTGCACACGACAGCTGTTCGACAGGAGTAGCACTTGATCGTGGAGCATCATGAGCTCCAACCTCCGAGAAGCCCATGACCATCAAAAGCTGGTGCAGCCTGTCCTCCAGGTATTTATCAGGGCCGGGCCCAAGCACACAGGCTCATTGTCCTCCGGTATTGTGTGCACTACTCGTACTTCCTGCCAGGAACCTCTGCTCAGATCTCAGGTGCCAAGGATGCCACAATCGCCCGGATGCATCGTGATCCCTCATGTGCTGTCGAGCAACCACAGTCGGTGATATTCGGTTTTCCATAAAGACCAAACCTTCGGGCATGGCATGTGATGACAGTCGACAAATACAGAAAGGGGGCGGGCCGAAGCTTTACCGGCGCAAAGGCATCCAGCAGCTCGTTGGAAAGTACCTTACTCCAGGGCAAGGTGTAGGTCGCCCATGCTGCTCGCAGTCCAGCAGCATGCGCCACCATCAATGCCCGCTAAGCCAAGCTACCACAGAAGCACCCGCTTCTGCCGTGCCGCGATCTCTCGCCTCGCATTCTGGGGCATCCAAGCCCTCTGCGCCTGGCTTTTTCAGAAAGACTTCTTCCGTCACAGATTGAAAAACTGCAAATGGCTGTGTCCTTGGCACGCAGTTGACGCTGCCAGTGCTGCTAACACCGACTTGCAACTGGCCTCAGCAACGGAGGTTCATCAACTCTCGCAGTTCGCGCAAGGCAGGCATTCCATGGTTACGGTATCAGAGCGTGCTTCCGTCCCGCATGCACAGGGCTTCTTGAGATTCCAGCCGTGCTCTGCGCATCTCCAGACACGGACCGAAGTCCCCGAGATTGCTGCCGTTTGCGAAGTGCAGGAGACCTGCAAAGCGGTTGGCTAGAAAATCTGAGAAAGTCTTGACTACAGTCTGTCTCGTAACACACAAGCTCGTGCCCCACAGGGCGGGACTGGCCTTTCCATTATGGTATACCTTGGTCAACATCGATAGCACCAGCAACCTCTGGCAAAGCATGCTTAGACCAGGTCGCTCGAAAGCCGCAGTCCAGCGACGCCACACAGCGGGCGCCAGCCCCAGGGCATTTGTTCGCACACACTGCTGTGTATCGTAGGCCAGCTGACCGGAACCTAAAGAGCTCAAGCTGCAGCTCTCAACAGCCTCTTGCCAATGCGCACCTGCGCCCATCTCCACAACGCGGAACGGGGCACGCTCGTTAAGCTGAACCTCAGAAGCAAACGGGTCTTGTCAGTCCTATAATGCACTCACAGCTCAGCTGACAACGGTGAGTACCAGGCCCACATCACGAAGAGCAAGCGGCAGAAGACTCTTGCAAAGTGTGGCGAGAGCGCCATGGGATAGGTAGTGAAATGGGCAAACTGCTGTGTGCCCTGTGTGTCTCCTTGGCCAGCTTTGCCTCCGCCCAGAAGTACATGCCCCTTCGAATAATAGCCCCACTCATCTCCATATTGCGCATCAGTGTAGAAGTCGTCCATCTTGTAAAACTGCTCCGTTTCAACTTGTGATGCAAGAACATCTGCCCAACTGTTCGACGTCGCATTGGCCAAGCAGCAAAGCTGATGAGTGAAGGAGCCAGCCCAGCAGGCCGTGTTACCCCCAGGCCCGTACTTGGCTCCGCAGCAGAAGTCATACGAAAACTCCCCGACCCAGCAGTCGGCATTGGGGCAGCACTCACCAAAGCTGTAACTTCCATCCCAACACTCAGGTGCCGTCGATGCATCCCCACGACAGCATTTTTCCTTTGTGAAACCGGCCTGCCAACAAACATCTGACGAGACATCCCGCAATGCTGCCGTCTCGTCGGCGAGGCTATCTTGCCATTCTTGAACGCTGCGGACGGACTTCTGTGCCAGCAGACTTTCCGCCCTCGCGACTGCATGTGGGACCAAGACGGCGAGAACGCCTCGATGCCATGCCAACAATCCACAACGTGCCATCCGCCCGCCTACCGCCGCCTACACCCTAAACCGCAAAACAGCTTCCTGTTGAGCTTTTCTTCCCGCTCTGACTTTCTAGCCCAGTTGACAAGAACATGAGTGCCATCTAAAGTCTTACGGCCAAATATGCAGTCGTACTGCTCACCCACATGTGCTGACTTCCATGCTGCATTCCCGAAGTCCAACATACACGATGGGCTGCAAGAGCTTCGATTGCTTCCAAAAGAAGAGGCGACTCAACACCGAAAGCAAGTTACAAGAGTAAGCAACGTCCCATGCACCATGAGTTCTGGAAAGGCATAGTTTCAACCCCGCAGCCCATCCAAAGACATCAGGGCAACATTCACCGCAAGAAATTTTAACAACATCCTGGACACGGAACAGTCACTGCCGTCCTCATCGCTGGCAAACATCGAGACCCGAGAACTTGGACTAGAATGGGGCTCGAGCATGCTTGCACATCTGTCCCTGCTACTGCCACAGGTTGTGCCCACTACCCAACGGCAAAATCCAATCCTGACCCGAACAGTCTGTGACTAGACTTGCTTCAGATCGCAGTCGGCCCATGTCCCTCCAACTTCATCCGAAACATCCTGCAAGATAGTGGTGACGACCGATGGTAAAGCACCGCAGAAAAGACGAAGTGCTTTGTGGCTTGCGACCACACCCCGGCACAACTATGCCGCCCGGAACGGAACGCAACTTTCGGATCCCAACAGCGCATCATAGAGCCTGCCGCACGAGGCTCTGAATCGATGTGTTTGCCTTGAAAGCCGAAGACTGTACAAAACGAATGGCAAGGGCGTCCCTTTATGACACGCCAGGCTTCTTGTCCTCGCTTGCTCTGATCATCATGGGTTGTTCTCGTTCAGCACTGCCCACCGCACGGCAGATCAGGAGCAGGAGAGTGCGGTCTTGGTACTCCAGCTGCTTCACTTGGGCAAACCAGTTGCGGAGCAGCAAACCAGTTCTCGGATGATGGTACCGGAGTAGCCGCACAGCGAGGCCATGTGCCGTGCCCGCCAAGTTTTGCACGAGGACCTCGGAAAGCTGACCGTGTTCGGCATCAATGTAGCTGAGCGCATGCTTCGGACCTTCGTGCCATGCTTCGTCGGGGACCCTTAAACCAACAGAAAGGAACGCTGTCGGGGCCCAGTTTTTCCACACACAAGGTTTTGCAATTTGTCGCTTAAAGTCGATTTGAGGACACCTAAAAGCACCTTACGGACCCTAAAAGCAACCTTTCAGGACACCTTTAAGGCTAAGAGGAAGGTAGGCTCGTTCGCACCCCTTTATCCTGCCCCGGATAAACGGAGCTAAGGGTGTGTTCATCCCGGGCCCGCTAAGGGTGGGCTTACCTTTTCCCCGAAGGTGGGCTCGTTTGCACCCCCTTATTCCCAGCCCGGGTAAGCCACCCCTTAGCTCGGGTTAAGGATTGCTTTACGGTTCGGGGACGGCTCAATCAAGGGGTTGGTTACGATGGCCGGGGCCAGGTTAAGGGCTGCTTTAAGGTAAGATTAAGGGTTGCCTTAATGCTGGCATGTGGCTTCTAAAGACGGGGTGCCTGTTAACGTTCCTCATGACGCCTGCGCTTCCCAAGAGCATCTGCATCAAAGAACCCCCTCACCCGGGAAACTTCCTGAGTTCACAGCGGATGCTTCGCCAGCATCTTGCCCGGCGCGCCGGGAGTCCTTCCAGCTGGCTCTTGGGGGGTTCCGAAAATAGGGCACCCTGAATGGTAGGATCGTTATTATAAGGAGCCTCAAACAAGGTAGGTTAATTTACGGAAACTCCCTCTTTGCTATTCCGAGGAGGAGCCCTTAGCGCGTGCCTCGCCATACATCGTGGGTTGAACTAGGGTTTAGGGTTTAGGGGTTTAGGGTTTAGGGTTTAGGAAAGTGTTACTTGCATGCTGTTTGGTTGTTCCATCCTAAGCCCAGCCCTAAGCATGCAGGATCTCGGAATGCTGGGATTTTCGGATGATTTGGCGTACTTTATTTTGGTGTCCTTTTTAAAATGATCTTGCTATTTAGGGCGCTATATTAGGGTCCCCGATTTCGGAAACATCCACATGATCGTCATCGACAGCCAAGAATGGGGAAACCCTAGAAGATCGTCCATCCGCGCTTTCGACGAGGACTGGTCTGTGAGTTTTGGCGCACTCTATCTCCGCTCCCAGCATTCCAGCATTCCCGGATACTCGTGCCTCGATTGGCAGTTACCGTTTGATGCAAGCCTCACCCCCCACTCAGCGCAGGAGGCAGAGTGCGATGACCAACAACAGAAGAAGAAAGGGATACTGATTGCAGACGACGAACAGCAATGCATACGCCCACAAGATCTCCAAGGGTCACAGCGACACAGTGAGAGTGGGGCCGGGACTATGACAGTCAACCATGAAGACAAGGACTGCCGAGTTGTCGGTGGGATGCAGGGAGCCCTAAATGCCGAGACACCGAACTGGGAAGTGCCTCAACCAGGACATAACATCCACCGAACTTGATGCAAACCACCCTCTCACTCTGACAAGCCGGGTCTTGGGTTTAGGGTTTAGGGTTTAGGGTTTAGGATTTAGGGTTCAGGGTTTAGGGTACCCGGCCTTGATCTGCACGTTGCCCTCGACACCTCGACACCTCAGGAGCGGCACCTTGCAGCCCAAGGGAAACGGCAGCTGGTTTAGGGTTTAGGGCTTAAGGGT